GTTGTGGTACTGCGACGATCTTGATAATTTTCTTGGATTTGTATTTGGTTTTCTCATTTTGTTTTTCACTTTTGCAGAATTCTCCCTTTCCCGGGATTTTTCTCTACTTGCATATATCACCGGCATTTATGGCTATGGCTAATAATGATATATTCTCTGATTTTGGAATTGGTAACGAAAACTCCCAGTGTTGTGAAAATACCGCACTACAGAAGGAAATTCAAGCGGAAATTAATCTTGATGAAAACAGATGGACTGAGGATGATACTGTTCTTCTGGGATTGAATGAAAATAGCTTCCGCCATCAACAAGAAAATGTTAAGGGTTGTGCTGCTGGCAGTAAAGGATCAAATGTTTTGGGAAAGTGCATCAGTTCCGGATACAGAATCAATAACGGTGATAGCATGACTATGGTATCAGAAGTCGGAGATTTGGGAAGCGTTTGTTTGACTAGTGCTGGAAGTCTCAAAAATGATCGGCGAGACTGGTCTGGAATTCGAAATTCGTTATGGATTAGTGAAGAGGGAAGCGTTTGTCGGGGTGATGTTGTGCTAAAACGGGAATGGTTTAAGGTGGGGTGTTTTGATGATGAAAGGGAAATGTTCCGAGAGCAACTGAAGGGTCGTGTATCTAGATGGAAAGTAAGGAAAGTGAGCACAGGCTCGAAGATTTTTTATCGATGCAATAAATTTAAACATTTCGGATGTGGTTACCGAATGTATGCAGAAATTCGCGGTCGAAATCGGATTGGTCTTTACGAGAGTGGATTTCATGATCATTCATCCCGCAAATTCAAATGTTTGAGTAATTTTCTCTTTTTCTTAACTTTTACTTATTGTTATATGGTTAGACCTGTTTAGCTCCTCTGTACTTCTAAATATAGTCCTGTTTATGCATGAATCACTGAAAAAAAGCCCATGTCACGAGCTGTTAAACCGCCTTATCCAATTAACCGTTTATTATTTAGTGAGTGGTTTTCCTGCATCGATATTCATTATGTCTATGATTAGTTGCCATAGGTGTTAATGTTTGATTGAAGGATTTGTTAATTTTTACTAGTTGAATATCTTTGACTGGTAAAACTGGCAGATTCTTCAATGGAGTGTTAGCGGAATCGGTAGCTAATTATCTTCTAGTTTAGCGCTTTGGAACAGTGTTATTAACGAAATGAATCGGTATTCTGCTGCGTGGGTAGCTAAGATGGGTACATACATCAGGTGTACATTGTTACATAAGTCTGTGTTTCTCTTTACATCCAAAAGAGCTTCCAGAAAACAAGTTTTGATTTTTTATAAATATTTTGGGATTGTCAAAGTTCAAAAATGGAATTTAGTTCAGTTAATGGTTCAGTTTATATAAGTTAATTATATACGACCACTGAACTGTTAGTAACGTTATTCAAAACGTTTTTCCTAATGTTCTGTTTTCCCGGTTTCCTTCTTATAATCGCTTCAAAAAGGAAGTTAGCTTGGGATACTTCCCTTTTCGGAAGATTAAATTATTCGAACTAAGATTGCTCAGTTTCCTTTATGAAATTTCCATCATTATTTGATTACTACCGAATAAGAAATTCAAAATGAGCAAGCTGTGGGTGGTTGAAGTAGCATATGAGATTCACTTATACTCATTTTCAGAAGCAGGTGCTCGTGTTGTTGTGGATGCGAAACCAAGTTCGTCACAGCAGGCATTATTAGATCAGTTCATACAAAATGCTACAAAAAAATGCGAAGTTGAATGGCACTCTTTCTGGAATAACCGCATCAACATCTACTTACACACGACTAGCACTACCGCAGCTACAACCTTCCAGTAATATCGCTTGTGGACAGGACAATATTTTCGATGCGGTTTCTTTTTTTTTTGTTTCCTGAAAAACATGACTCTTTTCATGTGTATCTTAAAGTATTAGAAGAGTTTCCATATGCATGTGATCGAGTTTTTATTGGATGGCAGTCTTACGTAGAGAGCCAGCATAGCAGGAGTGTTACCCAATTGAATGGTTTCGTAATAGCAGTATTGTGAAATCCTTGGCAATTGGAAAGTTTTGTGTTCTTTTCTTTGCACTGAGTTCACATTTTTTTGGAAGAGGTTGGCCGAGAATAATTTAAAACTGGCAAGATCTGTGGTAATTTTTCGTTCTGGGGTGGATTGTGATGACGTTGGTTTCAAATTTTTTTTTCGAAAACCTTCACTATCGTTAAATTTTTGTGTTACAAATGGTGGTGTCGGAATTCGAACTATATTATAGTGTCTGATGGAAACTTAAGTTTCTTCCGGGAAGAATTTCATACTTTCAATAATCAAACTATGAAGATATTGCGTGAAGCCTGGCGATGAATTTGGGGCTTATGGCTTGTGTTTCAAAATCAAAACTTAGGTACACTCTCCAAAGATAATGTACCTAAGATGTTGATTTTTTTCTTATACTGCCAAATCATACATGCAGCAGGATACACATGATGGTCAGAATCATTTACTGATACACGATAAATGATGTTTCATTCAAGGGCGACGATGCGGGTGAAAGTAATGAACCATCGTACGTGTTGAGCGATGGGAGCAATTTGTCTGAATTGTTGCGTGTTGCCAACGATATGGACTTGGCCTTTACTTACAATTCTAGGAGGTAATTTTTCCTTTACTTGATAGATTCTTATGATGATGCTTTATGCGTTGACATTCTCAATAATGGCTCATCTGTTATCTCTCCGGACTCGTGGTCTAAAAATTTTCGACAGATTAAGCCTTAAGCCTGATTTCTCGATTATCAGGCTTAATTTAATGATATTCACAGTGTTTATCTTCGAGACTTATCTCGAAGTTATCACACAGTGGTATGGGCCTCTGTTACTGTCGTAAGATAACTCAAGGGAAATTTCAAATCGGCGTATTTCATTGGTTAGTTGTGGGTTCATTTTCATTAATAGAGTTTAAGGTCATGGGACGTTATGAATCTTGTCATATTTTTTTAGAACCGGGGAATTCTGCTTTGAATCGAATGCGCAAGACATGAGGGGTCGTTTGGTTGTGTTTGCGGATCTTGGAACTAAAGTTGCTGTGCGTGAACGTTTCAACGGCAGTGATTTAAGGTTGAAAATATGTATTGATTTAGTGTGTTACTGAGGTTAGACGCAGGAATTTTCACTGATTTCTAGTTTAACTCTTCGGAATGACTTTTTATAGGATAAGGAAGTGTGGATTAAAGTTCTAATGTGTTGATTTCTCTTTTTGCACTGTATTAATTTTTTATAACTTCAGTTACGAAGAATGGAGCAAAGCTGATTGGAAACAATTCCTATGGGCAGTACGCGGGAAGTGCATGAATGTTCTTAGGGGACTTTGAATGCGGTGTAAACTACTTGGAGTGGCCTTATTATTGATGTTTATGTGTTTTTCACCTCTTTTATTGCACATATCACTCGAATGCCGTATATCCAAGAATATGCAAGGAAAATATTCCACCATGCAGATTTGCACCGTTGCACACTTTTTTTTTTTTAAGTATTCAGGTGGTTTGCTGTTAATCAAGCTAATTGTTTTGTTCAGGAAAACATGTAGAATTTATGCAATATTCTCGTTTCATATGCAACTGTTTCATTGTTCACTCTTTTGTTTGTTTTTTGATTTTTTTCAGTTGTTTACAAAAATAAATGAAATTCTTGGATATTCGATATATTTATCGAAATTACCAAACTGATAAACATAATACTGTTATTTTCAAAAGCCATCTTAATATAATCTGTGGTACTGTTGTTTATTCCAATACCCTTACCTTGTCCATTCCTTATAAGTATGAATTAAACTGTAGAAGATATCTATTCAAAGGTGGCGGAAGAGAACTTTAAGAAGCACAACACTTGCTTTTCGAGCAGAGTGATTGTCGTTAAAAGAACTAAAGATTCGTGGTGATATTCAAATCATAAATCATGGAGTATTTGAATTTGCATATTCGACTACTCCAGGGTAAATTTCAAGCTCACATTTTGGTGGGGATACTGGAGTCGGTTAGCGTAATTTAGTATTTGTATTTTGATGCTACTTGGCAAGCGGTTGGGATGGAAGGCTTTATGGATATGAGGTGTGGGGAATGTTCTGGTATGCGCTTCCCGGTTAAGCTGATGGTTGAGAATCAGTAAAGAGGAGGAGGATGATGCGGGCTTTCAGTTAGAGTAATTACCAGACTCTAACAAGTGGTACTATGATTTAATGATTATAGGTTATTCGTGCTACCATCAATTCGGGAAAACTGCTTGGAATGGTTCATTAGTGATTTGTCAGTAGTGAAATCTTTTTCATTCTCTAATATCCTGATATTTAATGATATTAAAATTTTTCTTGTAGAAACTGTTAATAACGATGGTTTCATCGCCAATAATCGTGTATGGCATTGTGACCATTTCCGTTGCTCACGTTGTAAAACAAATATAACACGTGAGTATTACGTAGACAATGGCAATGCTATATGTGTTACGTGTACCCTGGTACGACCAACACCTTGTCATAGTTTGTTCTTACTTTTTATTTGCATAAGTTTGTCTCATTTACTTTTAAAACAGACTATGCTCCCAGATTCGAGAGACTCGCAGATACGATTATCAAACTGTTCCTTTTACTGGTTCTTCCTCTATTTGGATCAATCGATTCCTTTTTTTTTTCTGGTCAGGAACAGGTGGACTACATGTGGACTTGAGAACAGTAGGTGGAACAGGATTTTAACATAAATATCTCCTGAATTTAAATGCATGTTATATTTTAGAATGTGGATGTGCTATAAAGGAAACATATTTGGAAGCTATGGGATACTGTTGGCATCAGAAGTGTTTCCTCTGTTATAGATGCAAAAAACCCTTTCCAGGTAAATGATGATACTTTTTCTGCTTTACTACTTCTTGTCGAACCGATTGATGGTCTACATATAATTTTTACGATTTATTTCAATCTGGCTTATAAAAAATGGTTTGTATAAATGTATATTCGAGAAAGTCTGAGTAAAAGCTTTTCATAGTATGAGACAAAGGGATTTTGTCTCATACTATGAAAAGAGGGATTTTGCAGGAATACATGCTATACTTATACAAGATGCTTGTATGTATCTCTTATACGTATACTTATTACTTATACGAGATATTTGTACGTATCTCTTATACGTATACTTATGCGAAATACTTATACGTATACTTATACGAGATACTTGTACGTATCTCTTATAAGTATACTTATGCGAGATACTTGTACGTATCTGTTATACTTATATTTATACGAGATACTTATACGTATCTCTTATAAGCTTTTCATATCTCAAACTTGTACGAGGGATTTTGCATACGGAAAGAGTTAACAATTAGAAGCTGGTTTAATGTTTGCAAACTCATTCTTAAGTTATTGCTAAATTCAGAATAATAGCTTATTCAATTCGAACCCCTGAATTTGAACTTCAATTTAAGTTTTATAAGTTAAAAATTGCAATTACTGCATAGACACTTTCAGGATTATTTAGTTCTGGAACTAAGATAATGGGGTACGCAAATCGGCATATGATTTTACCACAATGCTTTGTTCGTATCTTCTGAAAATCTTTAATTTTTTTCATTTTTGAATTTGAATTCGAAAGTTTGCTCATTGATAACTTACTTGAAGGTGGCAAGTACTGGTCACTAAATGGACATCCTTATGACAATGATTGCTATTGGGGTGCAAGGCTTGATGCGCAGTGTTGTGTAAAATGAACATATTTTGCAATTGTTTTTTATGATTTGATTAAATTTTGGGTAATTCTAAATGATAAATAGCAAATATTAGCATAAACTCATTGTCTCTGATAATTACGAAGTTAAAGTTTTCAGTTCTACTTATCAGTTAAGTAATGATTACCGAAGTCTGGCCTAGAATTACTATCTCAGCCTAGGCAGTCATTCAGAACTGTAATGTTTCCACAGGTTAAACAGCTTCATCATATGTTGTGTATGAACTTATGCAAGATTTTAATAATGCTACCTATCAAATTATTCCAATCTGTCTGTCCAATCGCTCACTGCGGTATCGTTTTTTTCTATAAATAACAAGTCATGCATATTGTCGAAAAAAACGCCATCTTCTTGAAGAATGTCAAATTGCGCAATAAACTTCTTGTTGAAATCTGTTAGCATTTTAGTTCCATGTTAACTTGGCCATTACAAAAATATTCGTAGGTCGCATTAACAGTAAGGTTTAAAAGGAAGTTAAAGTTTTCTTTTTTTTGGCTAGACGGTGATGTTATTTTCAGTTTTTCCAATAGCATCTAATTTTTATTTCTGAAATATCGACAAATCCTTTGGCAGATATTGAATTGAATGAAATGAAATGATAAATCTTGCTAAATTCAGGATACGTGAAGATGGTAAAATGAAAGGAAAGGAGAGATGCTCTTAACTTATTTGATAAACTAAATTATCATTGCGCTTCAAGTATTAATGTCCCATCTGAAACCTGGCTCATATATTTCAAGTTTTTACAAGTTTAAATTGAAATTTTCAAAACAAATTCAATCCTAATATTATGTTTTGAAACTTTCCCAAGCAAAGAAAAAGAAAAAGAAATGCTCACTGTCCAAATTAAATGAGACATCATTTCACAGTTTCATCAACCACAGCTATATTGCCGGTATTGTCTACGGCACATTTCCAGATCAATGCTTCCAATTTTTCACCGTAATCTGCGTGACTATTATCATTGCGATAGAATTTGGCTTGAATCTTTCGTTGCAATATCCTTCCAGGACCCTGAAAATTATCACCACTTATCACTACTTATTCGTATCAACTATTTTCAACAGTTTTATAAAACTTTTGTCGAGTGATTCGAAGATATAAACTTTCTTTTCGAAGTTGAAATTACTAGGATGTTATCCGTGTCACCACTAGAATGCTGTGAGTTTTTCATCAATAAACAACCCAAATTACAAAAATAAATAAATGAACATGGCGTTTGATAAATGAATCATTCAAATGAGTTTATGAGTCAAAGTGAATAATATTTTATAGAAATTAGCAATTATAGATTCTGGTGACACGAATGACATAAACAAAATGCAGTGAATTTCCGTTTCATATGTGCTTGTTAATTTCAATGCAAATCAAAAATATGGATCGGAATCAATAATAGTTAAAGATTTTAGCCACAATCATTAAGCTTAACAAATCTAAAATCCTTCCTATCATTCTTTTTCTTGTCATTTGAATTGCATCACAAAATATGGTACAATAACCTGTAAGCAAACAGTAATATATTCTCTCTTCCTGTTAAGAGTAACATCACTACCAGTTGTATTCCATTCCGTACTGTAAACACCTCCACCAATACTTTCCGGTCGTAACTCCAAATCACTTCCTGCTATATGTAATACACTGAAAATATATTGTTTACCATCTTTATTGGATTACTACTCAAATTTATCTTAAATCAATCAATTTAAAATTTTATTTCAAAATAATGAATTATGAAAAATCAACAAATGTAACATTCAATTCTTCAAGAATTATGCTTGGAAGAAAAATTTTCATTTTTAAAAAATTATTCAAACGAAAGAGACCAATGATTAACTAATTAGTTTAGTAATTAAGAATATTGAAAGTTGTACAATTTGTTGGAGGAAGAAAAAAAAAAACTAAATGATAAAAACTTGGGGGAAAAAAAAGAAAGCATTACTGAAATTCAGTGGCTGGTTTAGTTGTTACAGTAATTTTATAAATAACTTCCGAACGAAATTTGTATGTTCGAAGAAGTACGTCTGATTTAACATCCCTTCCTTGTGTTTTTCCAAATCGTTCACCATCTACTTTAAATGTTATTGGCTCATCAGTGTTGTATTTCCTGAAAGTTACATTTACCATTGCATTTCCTGAAAATTAAATTGCCAAATTGTACGACTAACTTTCTTCTTTTGAATCCTTTTTCTTATCTAAAATTTTCTGAAGGATATAACCATAGGAATTCTTTCATATTTTATAAATTTGAAATGAATTAAAGAAGTTTCTTAAACGATGTTTTCCAAATTTTTCGAGAAAAAAAAGTTTGTACTTCATATTTCTTGAATTTGCTCTTTCTTTTTCTAACTAAAACTTTATTCTAAACATTTATTTTTTATTGTTCTCATCACAATTCCATCTTCATCTAACAATCTTTTTTTAGCTGTAAAATTGAAGCAAAAAAGAAAAAACATCGAAAGGATTTATTTTCTTGCCATGTAACTTTTAAGGCAGTTCTGATGATTATTTAAAAATAAAAAAGTGTAGAATATTGCTTTTCTTTTCCTCTCAGACAATTAATCTTCAGTATGGCTCGTTAACTAATTAGAATAGGATATGGAATGGAAAGTAAATTGGTAATTAAAATAGCTTAACTATTTTTAGAGAATGAAGAGGGAAGGAAATATAACAGGCAATCTATAGCAAGAGACAGTTGTCAAATTAAACAATTTGAATTATCAAATGAATGTTATCTAATTTGACAAATCTGTTTTAAAATTTCAATAAGCAATTTTACGTTTGTAATTTTCTTTTTATTTGAGGTGATTTCACTTAAATAAAGTTGGGAATATTTTTCTTACGAAAGTTTAATTTAACTGGAAAAAAAGCAAAATCTATTTCAAGTTCAATCTCAAGTTATCTCAAGTTTCTTCTGCTGGCAATTTAGTTGCAATTTAATTTCACTGAAGTGGAAATCTGTTAACAATTTAGACGCAATTTAGCTTCATTTGAATGGGAATAAAACTAATTTGCATCTGAATTCTCAAAAGAAAAAAAAAGGATTGAAGCAATGGAAGATTGATTGCTGAATTACGAATATGAAATCAAAAATTTTTGAAACTTCCTCCATTACTTTGTTTTAAAAATAGGTTGACAGCAAACTGGAAACATCAAACTAATACAGCTATCGTTAACCAGCTGACCAGCTGACCAGTTCATCCTAACCATAAATTATCTGGCTAAGAAACAAATGGCATTATAGGCCTTTGTTGGGTCCTTGTCTAAGAATCAATGCGGTCCAACAAACTTATTTGTTGTATTTAATGCTAATAAAAAGATATGAAAAAAAAATAAGAAATTAAAACTTCAAATTTTAAGACTCATAATTTGAAAGATGAAATATAAGAAAACAAGCCAGAAGAGTTCTCTTACTACACTAAAGGTGACATTGGTTGAATCATTGACAGATAGAATGACATGCAAACGTAAAGAAAATCTAAATTTCAGGGATGAAAAAATTAAAATTTCAAGCCTTTAGAGTTAAAATTTAGAAGGTAAAATACAAGGAAACGAATGTATGGATTATTGTGTGTATGCTTATGATTAAGAGTATATTGCTGATTATTATATTGAATTTATATAACATAACGACTACCAATTAGTGCAAATAATTAGCATAATGCAATGAAGGCCCGGAAAAGTTTATGCTCCTCAGATAGTTGCAATTCATGTAACATTTTAAATGTTAACATTTATTAATGATCAAAATTAATGGATTTCACAGTAATCCTCATGCATTTTAACAAATTTTAATAGAATTTCATTTTGTGAATTTTAACAAAACATCAATTGCAAGGTTGAAAAAGTTTCAACAAGGAATTTTCAAATTTCTAATTTTAATCAAATTACAAAAAAGAAAGATTGTTGCACTGAATGGATGAAAATTTGAAAACCAGGAAAAGTAGCGAAACTTAAATTTAAAATGAGTTCAAATCTTTACGTACCTAATGTTAAATTGCAATTCGAAACCAGCTGTGGATGATGTTGGAAAATTAGTTGTCCTGCTTTTCATAGAATCGGCGTTTTCCGGCATTACAAAAGCAATCACACCTAAAAGCTATTAGTTTGATTGCTTGAATAAATGCTAAATTAATAAATTAGAAAGATTCGACATTTGCTATTAACAATAATGATGATGATGATGATGATGGTGATGACAATAAAAAATAATTAATAATAATAATAATGATAATAATAATAATAATAATAATAATAATAATAATAATAATAATAATAATAATAATAATAATAATAATAATAATAATAATAATAATAATAATAATAATAATAATAATAATAATAATAATAATAATAATAATAATAATAATAATAATAATAATAATAAT